ATGATGATAATGATAGTAATATTGATTATAATAATGATGATAATGATATGAACAATAAGGAATAATAATGGTGTTGGTGGTTATATATAATGATGATAATAATATAAACAATAACAATGATACCACTACTACTACTGCTACTAATGATAATGATAATTATGATTATAATAATGATATAATAATGATAATAATTGATATTATAACATATAGATACATATGATAATGATAATAGTAATAATGATAATAAGAACAATAATGATAGTAATAAGAATAAGAATGGTAGCAATAATAATAATAATAATGATAATGATGATAACAATAATGGTGATGATAATGATAACGATGATAATAACAATGATAACAGTAATGATGATAATAATAACACTAATGATAATGATATCTATAATGATAATGACAAATAATAAATAATTTATATGATAATAAAAATAAATGTAATAAAAATAATGAATAAATTATAATTATATTATATTAATTAAATGTTAAAGAAAATAATAATAATGTATTATTATTATCATTATTATTATAATTTTTTTTATTATTATTACATTATCATTATTATTATTATATAAAATAAATATAATAAATGAATAAAACAAAGATTCATTATAAGGGAAGTAATTTCCCCTCACCTATAGTGCCACCTTGGATCCTTGTTCCTTTGCTCCAGTCGGGCCGAGTTCTGTTTCAGAGGTGCTTCCTCTCGGCGAAGCCCTAGAGTTGGCGCCCGTCCCTCGCGGAGTCCTTCGCCGCCCGCCCCTCTCACGGTTCTCTCCCCGGCAGGTGTTGTTGTTGTCCGTGTCGTGCGTGTGCTGGAGCAAGCCCACGACCGTCGTTAACTTCAGCCCCGTCGGATATTCCCCGGGAATCGCCCCAGGGTTTGCCTACGCCTTCCGCGCCACCGCGCCTCTCTACGCGCCCGTCGCCGCCCCTGCGGGCGCGCAGGCCGTCGCGCAGGCCGTGGCCGCCCCCGCCCCGACCATCGTCAAGACGCAGTACCACAGCCAGGACGAGCTCGGCCAGTACGCCTTCGGCTACGTGGGAGACGCCTCGACCGCCCACGAGGTGCGGACGCTCGACGGCGCCGTCCGCGGCTCCTACACCTACGTGGACGCCGACGGCAAGCTGCAGACGGCGACGTACGTGGCCGACAAGAACGGCTTCCGCGTCGAGGCCACCAACCTCCCCGTCTCGCCCTCCGCCGCCACCAAGTCCGCCCTGCCTCTGCCGGAGCCCGTCCAGCCCACGCCCGAAGTGCAGGCCGCCACCGCCGCGCACCTGCAGGCCGTGGCGGAGGTGAAGGCCGCCCGCGCCAGGAGGTCCGCTCCAGCGCAAGGCTACCTCCCCCCGCCCGCGCCCGCCGCCAAGAAGGAGACGGAGGCGGCGCCGCTCCCCGTCAAGAAGGTCGTGAAGGTCCACGCCGCCCCCGTCCCTTCCGTCGTGCACGCCCACGCCGCGCCCGCCGTCATCTCCCCTGTCGTGCACGCCCACGCAGCCCCACTGGTCCCCGTTCCCGCCGTGCACACCGAGGGCGCCCCGCTGGTCCTTCCCCAGGCCGCGCCCTTCCCCTCGCCGCCAGGCCGTCTTCGTCAGGGCTGACCCAGAGGTTCTGCAGCGCGTCGTCGAGGTCCCCTTGGCCGCGCGCCGCACCCCTCGCCGCGGCGCCCCGTACTGCCGCCTCGACGTGGTCCCCGCGGCCGCCCCGACAGGTGCTGTCGCAGTTCCACTCGCAGAACGAGCTCGGAGGCTACGAGTACGGCTACGAGGGCGGCCCCTCCGCCAAGCACGAGGTCCGCACTCCCGACGGCGTGACCCGCGGCTCCTACTCCTACGTGGACGCCAACGGAGAGCTGCAGACGGTGTCCTACGTGGCCGACGACCTGCACGGCTTCCGGGTGCTGGCCTCCAACCTGCCCGAGGGCCCGGCGAAGGAGCACTAGAGGCCCTGCGGCGCGCGGGGCCGGGAGAGCCCAGCCGCTGCCCGCCCGCGCCGCCCGCGGGCCCTGGCTGTGCCGCAGAGTTATTTATTGTAGAGATAGTGAGGGCGCTCCGCCCGGGTCCGCCTCGCGCTCCTGCAGCTCCGGCGTGGCTTCTGTCTTTTTGCAGAGACGATTCCCGAAAAGCGAGGCGCGAGGAGGAACCGGAAGTTGCCGTCACTCGGGTTTAAAAAAAACACGTTTGTAAATCAGGATTTTTCTAGAAAAAAGAAAGCATATTTTTTCATTTTTATTGTAAATAAATCTATGGAAAATCATGTCATCATTTTCAAAGTCTTCCTTATGATTTACAAAACTAGACTGCAAAAGAGAAACAGCCTTCGTCAAGTATATGATCATACAATTATCAAACATATATCATATACATTCGCCCACACATTTGAAAAACAAATTCCGTATTTTTACAGACAATGTCAAATAGCAATGGAAATGTATAAAAAGAAAAACAATTATATAATCTTACTATAGATAGCCATTTATGAGTTGTCCACAATGAATGAGACAAGAGAAACCATTTATTGAGAGAATAAAAATCACGATATTTCCACACACCAAAAAATAGATAAAAAATAAAAAAAAAAAAAAAAACAGCCTCAAAGGAAAAAAAAAAAAAGAAAATTTGGAAATATGATTTTGAAATAGATATTACAACAAAAGGATAATAATGAGGATGCTGTTGGCAATAATGATGATACTAACATTAATGCTAAAACTAATGATAATTATAATAATAATAATGACAATAATACTAGTAATAATAACAGTAATAATAATGATAATGATAATAATGATAACAATAATAATAATCATAATAAATAATAATAATATAATAACATATCAAGACATATTTATCAATGATAATAATAAAACGATAATGAATAATGAGTAATAGCAATGAAATAGTAATGACAATAATAATAATGATAATAATAAAAAATAATAATAATATAATAATATGATAGTAGCAGTAGTAGTAATAATGATAATGGTGATGATTGTAATGATTATAATGATGATAATGATGGTAATAATGATAATAAGAATAAGAATAAGAAAAAGAATGATGCTAATAGTAATAATAGTAATAATCAAAGTAATGATAATAATGATAACAATAATAGCAATGATGATAATAATACATATTAATATTAATAACATTGATAACTGTAACGATGATAAGAATAATAACAAAGTATAATAATGGTAATAAAATAATGATATTAAATAATATACAATAATAACAATAATTATAATAATAACGATGATGAATAAATATAATTAATAATAATAATAATATAATATAATAATAATAATTAATAATATAATAATAATAATAATAATAATAATAATAATAATAATAATAATAATATAATAATAATGATAATAATAATGATGAATGATGATAATAACATAGTAATGATAATAAGAATAATACAATAATAAGAATAGCCCCTAGCCTCCTACCTCCCCCCATCCCTCCAGCCCTAACCTCCGCCCTTATCACTTCCATCTTCAGCCCTAACCCCTCCACGCCTCTAACACCACATAATTATTATTAACTCTCAGCCCTAACACCCCGTCCTTACTCTTATCCTCCTTCAAGCCCTATACTTACCCTGCTCCTCTAGAATTATTTACATGCCCTAACCCCCGCCCTATTCACCTGTCCCTCAGCCCTAACCCCCCTCCTCTTCCAGCCCTAATCCCCCTCAGGCCTTTACCCCTGCCTTAGCCCAACCCCTCTTCAGCCCTAACCCCGCCCTTACCCGCCCTCCTTCAGTTCCCTAACGCCCCCTCCTATCAGATTCCTAACCCCCCGCCCTTACCTCCTCCTTCAGACCCTAACCACCTATGCCGCCCTTACCCTCCTCTTCTTCAGCCCTAACATCCCCCCCTCTAGCCCTTCCCCTCACTTCAACCCTACCCCCATCCTTCAACCCTAATTCCCCGCCCTCTACCCCTCAGATCCCTTACCTTACCCCCTATTCTCCCCTCAGCAGCCCTAACCCCGCACCATACCCCCCTCAGCCCTTACCCTCCTTCAGCCCTAACACCCACCCCTCCCCTTATCCCCGCCCTTACCCCCCTATCCCCTACTAGCCCTAACCTCCCCATACCGCTTACCATCAGACCCTTACCCCCCCCTCCTTCACCCTAACTTTCCCCCCATCAGCCCTTATCCCCGCCCTCAGCCCTAACCCTCCCGCCCCTTACCCCCTCAGCCCTAACCCCCCCCTCAGCCCCTTACACCCGCCCTTATAACCCCTCCTTCAGCCCTAACCCCCCTCAGCCCTAACCCCTCCCCCAGCCCTTACCCCTCCTTCAGCCCTAACCCCCGCCCGCCTTACCCCCCCCCCAAGCCTACCCCCTCAGCCCTAACCCCGCCCAATACCCCGTCTTCAGCCTAATCTCCCCCCTAACCCCCCTACCCCTAACCCCCGCCCTAACCCCCTCCCTACCCCCCCCCTCCTTCACCACTAACCCCCCTCTTCAACCCCTACCCCCTTCAGCCCCTTACCCCTCTTCAGCCTAACCCCCTGCCCTTACCCCATCTTCCAGCCCTAACCCCCCCCTCAGCCCTTATCACCCCCTATCCCCCCTCAGCCCCTAACCCCCCGTCCTTACCCCTCCTTCAGGCCCTAACCCCGCCCAGCCCTTACCCCTCCCTTCTGGACCCTAACCCCGCCCATCCCCACCCACCGCCCTCAGCCCTAACCCCCCTATCCCCTACTCCCCCCTCTCCCCCTACTCCCCCTCAGGCCCTAACCCCCATCATCCCCCCCTCAGCCCTACCCCGCCCGCCCCCCCCTCTCCCCTACTCCCCCGCCAAGGCGACGCGATAGACCTTGACAGGGCGATGCGTCTCGTTGATGGTGAAGATTGCGTCGTCGAGCGAGGACTGATAGACCTGCCTGTAGGTCAGCCCTTGCCTCGCCACCTCCTCCAGGAACACGCCCATCGTCTCGTGGGTGCGGCGAGTGCAGGCTATGTAGGCGGCCTTCTCTGCGGCGCTCTGCGGCTCTCGGGGGGGCGGCTCTCGGGGCGGCACTCGGGGGGCGGGGGCTCTCGGGGCGGCTCTCGGGGCGGCTCTCGGGGCGGCTCTCGGGGGCTCTGCGGGCGCGGCTCTCGGGCGGCACTCGGGGCTCTCGGGGCGGCTCTGCGGGCGGCTCGGGGCGGCACTCTCTGCGGGCGGCCTCTCGGGCGGCGGCGGCTCTCGGGGCGGCTCTCGGGGGCGGCTCTCGGGGCGGCTCTCGGGCGGCTCTCGGGCGGCTCTCGGGGCGGCTCTCGGGGCGGCACTCCGGGACTCTGCAGGATGGATCTGCGGGGGAGAGGAAAGGGGGTGGGGGGGGAGGGTGTCAGTGGGAGGGGCACTGAGGGGTAGAGGGAGCATTTCTCCTTTTCTGTTTGTTTGTCTGTCTGTGAGTCTGTTTGTTTGTCTGTCTGGCTTCGCTATCGATCCATCTATCCACTACTCTCCTTTGATGTATTTATTATTTCTCTTTGTCTAGTCATCCCTCTATCTATCTATCTATCTATCTATCTGTATCTATATCTATATCTATATCTATATCTATATCTATCTATCTATATATATATATATATATATATATATATATATATATATATATACTATATATATGTCTGTCTATCTATCTATCTACCTTATCTATCAACCAATCCATTCATATATCTGTCTATCTATCTAACTTATCTATCAACCAATCCACTCATAATCTGTCTATCTATCCATCTGTCTGTCTACCTCTTTCTACCCCCCCATCCCCACCCCAAGAGAGGCAGCCCCGCCCACTCACTTGATCAGCGCCAGGAGGGGCGGGATGAGCGAGTGGGCGTACACGACGTCGGCGGCCACCACGATGTCCACGGGCGGCAGGGGGCACGGGCGGCACCAGTCCAGCTGCATCACGCCCACTTCTGTCTTCCAGCCGTCGCCGCCGCCCATCTCACACCCCTGGACGACCTGCGTTTTGGGAGAGGTTGGGCGGTTGGAGTTATTTGTTTGTGGTTTGCTTGTTGCGTTTCTCTCTCTCTCTCTCTCTTTCTTCTCTCTCTTCTCTCTCTCTCTCTCTCTCTCTCTCTCTCTCTCTCTCTCTCTCTCTCTCTCTCTCTCTCTCTCTGTCTGTCTGTCTCTCTCTCTCTCTCTCCTCTCTCTTCTCTGTCTCTCTCTCTCTCTCTCTCTCTCTCTCTCTCTCTGTCTGTCTGTCTGTCTGTCTCTCTCTCTCTCTCTCTCTCTCTCTCTCTCTCTCTCTCTCTCTATCTATCTATCTATCTATCTATCTATTTATCTATCTATCTCTCTCTCTCTCTCTTTCTTTCTTTTCATTTTTCTTTTCTTTCTTTCTTTTTTTGTGTGTGTGAGTTTGGTGAAGGGCCATCAACTGATCCTTCCCACTTACATCTTGTTCCTTCATTTATCACTTTCTTTGATTTATTACCTTCGCCGTTTCTGGGAGCGTTGATTGATTCGTTAGTTTGTTTGTTGGTTGGTTGGTTTGGTTGCTTAGCAAAATAATTCAAAAAGTTATGAACAGATTTTTAGATTAATTTAGATGCTATTTGATTCGGTGGCGATTAGGATCATGATTCGGGTCCAGGTATTCTTTTCATAATTGCATCAGTTTATATATATATATATATATATATATATATATATATATATATATATATATATATATATATATATATATATATATATTTACACACACACACACACACACACACACACACACACACACACACACACACACACACCACACACACACACACCACACACACACACATGTACGTATACATGTGTGTGTGTCGTGTATGCGCGTGTGTGTACATGTGTGTGTATGTGTGTGTGGTGTGTGTGTGTGTGTGTGTGTGTGTGTGTGTGTGCGTGTGTGTGTGTGTGTGTGTATGTGTGTGTGTGTGTGTGTGTGTGTGTGTGTGGTGTGTGTGTGTGTGTGTGTGTGTGTGCCGTGAGAGAGAGAGAGCCCTCACCGTGGCGCCCCCGGATGGCACTCTCCGTGGGCGGCTTCACGGCTTCACTTCTTCGGCGTCGTCGTCGTCCTCGGCCGCCAGAGCGCGATCCATCTCCTGCTGGAAGGCCGTCAGTTCCTCGCGCTGGAAAGGGGAGCGAAAGGAATAAGAGGGATAAAGGGGGGAAATCAGTCTCTCTCTCTCTCTCTCTCTCTCTCTCTCTCTCTCTATCTCTTTGTATCTTTCATTCTCTCTCTCTCTTCTCTCACTCTCTCTCTCTCTCTCTCTCTCTCTCTCTCTCTCTCTCTCTCTCTCTCTCTCTCTCTCTCTCTCTCTCTCTCTCTCTCTCTCTCTCTCTCTCTCTCTCTCTCTCTCTCTCTCTCTCTCTCTCTCTCTCTCGCCTCACGCGGGGCGGTTCGGCGGCCAGGTTGAGGCGCAGGTTGTGGTGGAGGAGCGCGAGCACGTGGTGGTTGCAGTCCGTGGCGGTGTAGGCCCTGGGCGGGGCGAACCGCTCGTGGGGCGTGGTCAGGGCGACGGCCGCCGTGAACCCCGCGCCCGCCCCCAGCTCCAGACCCGCCTCCCGCCAGCAGCTCGGGATTCTCCGTGGCCCACTCCGCCAGCACGGCGGCGCCGCTCCAGGTCATCATGCCCGTCGTGTTGTGCGAGATGCCCCCGCGGCTCTCCAGCAGCGTCACGCCGTCGTCCCGCCTGCGGCCCCGCCCCCAGCCCAGGTAGGTCCTGTAGCTCAC